GAATTTTGCCAGTTTATTTTATAAAAATACATCATAATATTTAATGCATCTTTTATCTGAAACTGAGAAGGAAGGAGATTGCTGTATCGTCATGCACCTCTTTGTGACTTTGCCAAATGTGTGTGCATCTTCAGGACAAGTATCTAACAGATAGTCTTTCCACACTCAGAGGCCATCGGCAATCAGATGTTAAGTGGTCTCAGCATTATCTGAGCCTTAGCAGACAGTTTTGAGTCAGCTCAATCAATCTACATCCATCCAGTGCAGAAAAGCACCACCTCCAGTTTATTGGAGAAGGGCCCCGAGGAGGGGAGTTCACCAACGTGGCAAAAAACTACCCCCGGACATTGAGCAATGAGTTTGAGCCAAGATGGTGCTTACAAAGACAGATCTGCCTCTGGAGTAAAAAAGAAAAAAAAAAACCTGCTCAATGGGTAACTTTGGTATTTTTCATACTAAACCCTATTTCCCCTATTTTTCAGACCTAGAGTTCACTTGCTTTGGTCCGTATCAGGGACTAATTTTGTAACAAAGTTGCACAATTGCCTAGAGTTGGTTGGTGTTCTCACAGTAGCATTTACAAGTGGACCAAATAAAACGCCTTGCGGGGGGCAAAATCGAGGAAGTAAACCAAATGTTGAAGAAGAGTACACTTACAAGATAAATGTGACACTTTCTAATGTCACAGTGGAGGGACAACTACGTGGGTTGATTTTAGCGCTGCTCATCGTGGACTATATTGCTGTCATTGTTCATTTTAGTCAAACCATACAGTTTGAAAACGAGGCGCGGCTCCAACTAGAAAACAATGTTTTGATGCATTGGATGTGCTGAATGTGCATATTAAGGCAGTATAGGAGGAGGTGCACATTAATAATCCTCCAGGACTGTAACATGCTCATGTTTAATCCAAACAATGTGTCATGTGACTGCAGTTGGTTCGGATCGAGGTCAAAACACATTCTCACCTCAAACGTACCGCACTAGAGTTCATTTGTAACCGGACCGAGACCACCTCTTCAAGAATGTTTGGTCCGCTTGTTTTGGTGCACACCTGAGTGTGATTGCTATGTTCACACCTGCCCAACCGCACTTAGGGGGCAAATGAACTTGGGTTTGATTGAACCGAACCAAACAGGGCAGGTGTGAAAGCACCCTAAAATTACTGTTCATTTAAACGGGGTCTGGTGGGTTGGTGATCGTGGGTTCAGGGCTTGCATTTTTTTTCCTTAAAAACAGGTCTATCATTGTAGGGATGTTTTCCATAATAATACTTAAACAAGCCCTTTTATTGAACATAAATTGATGGTGCCTAAGTCCCAAGTGGTTTCACTGCAGTCTGTTTTGCTGCTGCTGGCTGCAGCTCTCTCACTCAATACTGGACCAGATTCAAAAACCGTTGTTCCCATTAGTCACTTAGACACAAAAACATAGGATAACAGGATCCAGGTTGGAAAATCCTAAAGTGTTCCTTTAAATTTGAAACTCAGATTCAAATTCCAGATTCCAGATTCACAAACCCAGATCAGCAACATGTTGAAGGACTTGAGAGGGGTGGTAGTGTGGTATTTTCCAGAAAATCTGTAGAACGTTGTGTTGCAGACACTACACAGAGCAACACTTTAGGCAAGCCAAAAAAAAAGTTGGCTGCTGCAATTATTTTTAATATTTTTTTTGCATGAATAAGTTTCTTGTGGGAGAGAAACTAATTATCTCATCGTTTTGAGGGGAGGGAAAAAAGCGTGGCCCCAGTGGGACTCTCAGCATGTAAAATCAATGATGATTTGTGCAACAGCTTCTCAAATGGTGATGCAGCAGGCCGCATGCTGATAAAGACTTGCTGTGCATGACAGTGCTTGATGGATGGATGAATAGATGGATGGCCACAAGTAGCACTGCCACCCAGAACATTACTCACACACAAACAGAGGACTGAGGCAAATGCAAACAAATACTATACAGTATATAGAGAATATAAGAATATTTCAATCCTGAATAAAGGAAGTGACATTTTTGCCACTTTCCTTGCTGGAGACAGGGAAGCAGACAGTTCAGTTTTCCCTGCCAAATCTATAAACCACATACTGACATAAGGAAAAATGGTCTGCTTTAATGAAATGGCAAGACACTCACCAGTCTCATGAAAATCCTGTTAACCCTAAATAGAGAGAAACGCGGGGCAGCGAGCCATCTGAGCGGACAATGTTGCTGAGTAGATGCAGAACTTTGCTCAATAAATGACATAAGCGTTTCATACTGCCAGTGGTGAAGGAAAAAAAGAGGTACAAATGCTCAGTGACACTGTGCATGTCACTCCATGTCACATTAAAAAAAAAAAGGCCAGGATAATCTGTTTGATGATCACTAATGTAATCACAACAGAGATTACTGGTGTGTTTTGTCTGTTGTAACTGTCCTCATTTGCTTTTTGCTCTAGAAACCAGAGAGCAATTGGATGCAACTCTGATGGTGATTGCATCCTAAGTGTATTTTTAAATATGCGGATGGTGTATTGTATTTTATCTTAGTTTATAATGCTCTTCAGTAAACAACCTGGAATATTTCGGTGCACAGTTTTGGTCTTTTTTTCTCAGATAATTTGCATGGTGAAATCTTTTTAATTAACAAGAATGTTAGGAATTAAACTGGTAATAAATGAGGGCCCAAAACCTTATTTTGTAGTAGGTAACAAAAATTTAAAAAAAAAAAAAAAAAAACTAGAATAAGTGCCTTGCAGTAAGCTTCCTCATACCAGTCAAGTTGCAGTTACAGTCTACATCCATCTCTATGAAAATACAGATGCTTCACACACATTTCACCCCCGGCAGCACAGAAGATCTATACAATCAGCACAGTGTCAAGGTGGGCACCCGAGATTAGAGTCACCTTTTCAGCATCTGACAAGATGTCTGTGCTTTTGTTCGTGAGTTACAATGTTGAATAGTGGCCAGAAAAGTGCATTAAAATAAGAACATTAAAATGTCACAGTGAAGCTGACCTTCGACATTTTGGATATACAGTGTTATCACTTTATCATTTTTAGACATTTGAGTGAAACTGTGTCATAGTTAGCGTATGAGTTCTTGATTTATGGCCAACATGTTTTGGGAGGTCAGTGACCTTTATGTCTGATCTTCGACGACCGAACTCCAATCAGTTTATTGTCTAGTCAAAGTGGATGTTTGTGCCACATTGGAGGAAATTCCCTTGTTATGTTCTTGAGATGTTGCGTTTATTAGAATGGGGTGGACCCACACACATATAGATGATTGTAGTGTTGTCACGGTACCAAAATTGGGACCCAAAGTACGATACCAGTGAAAGTGTCATGGTTCTGAGTAGTATCAGGATACCACAACAAAAATGAGGCAGATGTGCCTTTCGTCATTTATAAAAAGATAAATCACTTTTCTATAATACATCAATGATATTTCAATGGAATAAATTACTTATTGACTTATTCATACTTCAAAAACAGCATCAGTAAGTGATGAACATAGGGGGGATCAAAATAAAATAAATAAATAAAATAAAAATCAACGAGCCACCCTCCTCCCCTGACAAGCAAAGAACAGTCCCTTCATAAGTAAAGAACAGTCCCTGAAGTGCGGTGAGGTTTGTGGGCCGTTACTGACACAAAGAGAGAAATGTGAAAGGCTCTTTTCTCCTCTGACACGTCACATACCTGTGTGCCGCCACTGCTCGGCTGTTCAGGTACTTCTGGGCAGTCATGACACCAACGAAGATGAAATTATTGGACATGGAGCCAGGCTTCTTGGTCGCTGGTAAGCTGTTATCTTGCGCCGCGGAGCACTATGGCCGAGGTATTTGACAGGAATACTGTCTGTGACCCCCGTTCAACATTATGGTATCATATGTACCGTCGTGTTTAAGTACCGCGGTCTACCGTTGGTACCAGTATACCGTGCAACACTAGATGGTTGGACGACAAAATAATGCCTCTGGCCATGGCTACCATTGCCGTGGAGGCATAAAACCTAGACAATAAAAATAATCACTGTACAGCTTAAAAAGGAGAGAAGGAAGAAAAAGACAACACAGAAGAATAATATCTTACAGTTTACAAGGCATATTTCTAGGCTGCCATAAACATGTTCAAATAGGAACACCATGTTACCTGCCTTCCAACTATCATAGCCACTTGTGTACAAGATATTGAGGGATTTTCTTAGCTTGTTAGTCTTCAAGACAGGATAATGAGTATTTCCACAGGCATGACTCAGCCAACGTGCTCACCCCATGCAATATGAGTAAGTGTGATGAGTGTTTTTCTTCTGCTTCTTGTAAGTCATACAGAGTAGAGCAGCATCAACCCTCAGAGACCCTGGGAGGCTCCGGACGTAAATTTTTTTGTATTTCTTAAAGATCACGGGGTTTGAATACTGATGGGTAGTTTTTTTTTAAGCGTTTTTTCTTGTCAAACCCTTTGTATGGAGGACTTGCACACTGTCTTATAAACGTTGATTTGCCTGAGGAGCACAAGGCTAACATGAATTAAATTTGTGCTTGTCATCGTCTTTTCTTGCTGAAGGGTAAAACTCTTGTATCTTCAGCGTTGGAGCAATATGAAAAGTCAGAAAAACAACATTCTGCTCAGTAAGACATTCATCTTATTCTTGTGGAAACCCTTGTTGTACACCGATTGATGGTAAATATGTGACACCATTGTCTTCCTCTTCCACCCTTTATTTCCCTCCTTCTCTGTTCTCCTGCTACCTCCACATCTCCATATTTACCCTGGCTTCAAACCTGTCTCCGCCAACAATGTCCTTTCTTATTTCTCATTCTTTCTGTCATCACTGTTATTTTCACTTTTGTTTCTGATTTCTTCTCCCCCTTCATTCTGATCACACATCTCTCTCTCCCTTGTATGCATCTACCCATTTCCATTTCATCCTCTTTTCTTCTCCACCACCTGTCTTCGCCACCACCTTCGGTCTTGTCACTATTCACTACTAACGACCTGTCTACCCCTGCAGGTATTCCTTCCAGGATGAGGAGGACATGTTTATGGTGGTGGACCTGCTCTTGGGAGGAGACCTGCGCTATCACCTCCAGCAGAACGTCCATTTCTCAGAGAGCACTGTCAAACTGTACGTCTGTGAATTGGCCCTTGCCCTGGGATACCTCCGCAGCAAGCGTATCATACACAGGTGAGATGGTTTCTCTTCATTTCTTGCATCTGAAACATTTGTTTGTATTTATTATATTGCAGTTATTTATTAATAATGGTTAATTATGCCGGGAAGTGTTTGCTGCCCTCTCTATCGATACAAATAACTCTTTGAAATAGTCTTTGACTGGTTACCCCATTATTTCTCTTCCTGCTACTGTACGCGTCCCTGTTCTGTCTCACTTGTTTTTCACCACCTAGTTTGAGCATTATCTACCCTGGTGTTCTTTTCTCCATGGCTGTCCACTTCAATATTATTTTCTAATATGACTGCTCCACCACTGTGCAGAAAGGTCAAGCTGTCTTGACATGGAGGTCACACCTGACACAACAGTTTACCCTGAGCTGCAGACTATGCCCATCATGAAATGCAACAGTTCTGTCCCCACTGCTGTTTCAATGCCTTATTTCATTTGTAAAATGCAGGTTAAGTGCTTTTTAGGCAGAAATATCTGCTGCTATAGCAGAGCCATCGACTCACATGGCCAAGAAAGACATGGCTGTGGCCCAACTTTATTATTTTAAGTTGTTGAAGTGACTCAAGGAAATTGGGATATCCTGTTACAGCCAATGATGCTGCCAAAATACATAAATACATAAAGTGAGCAAAAAGTGAAAAATAATCCTGTCCCTTTCTTTCTAACTGGTATAACATGAACATATATTTTTCTAATTTATATAGGGACATTGCAGATAAAATACAAAACTACAGCAACCCTGTCTCATATTGTTTTCTCATTTGCTTTGCCAAATACATTTGGGAGGAAACATATTTACTGCCATTTTTTCCAGTCCTGCAGGTGTGTCATTGTTAAATTACACACAAGTAAAACGGAGGTTGTCAGTGTAGTTGCACGAAGGAAAGGATTTTGACACTGGAGTCGTGGGTTTGTGTTTAGTGTGACGTCCCATGTGCGCTTACAGTGGATTTATTTACCTCAGTGGCACACAAAACTAAGTCCTTATTTAAAACAGGGTTATATTAGAGACTTTTATTCCTAATTTCCACCTTTCCTCTTTTAATGCAAACTTAAAACTTCCCCCAGTTTCAACTTTATGAAATCAACATAATGTAAACTCCACAACACTAATTCCAGCTGTACAACAACAAAGTCATTTCATATTCACCAGTTTTTAGCTCTACTTTGACCTCAGTCTTCCCACTTGGTAGTGTTTCGTCAACCTGCCTTAAGATAATGTCAATAAATGTCAACCATTTATGCTTGTTTTCACATTAAAGTCATTCCCTTTTATTGGTGAGCTTTTGGTGAGTATAATATAAATGAATGTACTGATGGAATTTGGGTAGTGCAAATGTACATTAGAATTTATATATCCTTGTGAGACCCCAAGTCGTCATATGTGGACATCACATTTTGGCTTGCTGCACCTTATGCTTCATTCTACTAAACTTAGACCTGTTGTCCTCATTTGTGGACATGTTCGTGCCACGTAGCAGTATTAAGAGCACAATACACCAATCCATGCAAAAACAAGATAGGAGCCACTTCTGCCAAGTGAGTCTGCAGCCGATCCTGACACACAAGTGAACAAGGTCCATACCTGATCACATTTTATGGTTGAAACTGGTTTATGATTAATAATGTTTGTAGTTTGATATGGCAACACATTTGACCAATTTTAGCCACATTAACAAGCTAAGATCCTGTTAATTAGAAAGTACTTGTTTGCAGACATTGGGACTTTATTATCATCTCGTGTGAGGACATTAGGACTTAATTGTTGTTGACAGTGCTGAGCTTTTTATACTTATCAGGTCCTACTGATCCCAAATAGCTAGGGAAGAAATTAAAAATGCATACCAAACAATAGTTTGGATAGGGTGCGAATGCAGTGCAACAACCAGAGGCAATGCAATGCAGCAGAGCAACCATGTAGGTGTTTTACATTTTACATTGAGATAAATCAATCAAATCAATGCATCATATAGTTAAAACAATCCAGTTAATTAATTCTCACACTTCCAAAGCCTGCATAGCCAACTGAATTATGACTTGGCAAAACTCAATACCCCCACAGTAAGCTGACAGGCAACCAAACGCTAAAAAGATGGAGTCTGTAGCAGGTAAAAAAGCCCACTTCAATCCGCCTACGTGATGCATCACGCCTGTGCCCCATGCATTTCATCTGGAACACTAATAAAGGCAACCAGAGCAGAACATAATGCATACTCTTTGTCTTCTAATAACTCTTACAGTACTGTAAGTGCATACATTTTTAGCAGGGACAACCTGAGTAGGGCTTTGCTCCAATATGTGAGGCACTATGATGTCCGTAGTCCATCCATTGTTCTGACTTACTCCTCCACTCTGGTGACTGAGCACAGAGGTAAACACGGAGAGAGAGGCCTTCTCAGATCATGACTAATAGGAAGCATCACTGCAACAGAGAACACTAATTCTTCAACACCCCCAGATGACAAATTACGCCATTTAACGTAAAGCAGACCACTTGCTCTTGTCCACGCTGTTATACCTCCACAGGAAAGACAGAGAGAGAGAGAATTAAATGAGACAGATTATTAATTTGCTTATTCATTGAGACCACTGAGGGATATGAATATTTAAATTATGTTTTCTATTTTAGTGCTGGAGAGGACAGACTTGCCACTTGATGTGCAGGTGTTGGGGGCGTTTGTTTAGACGGAATCAACATCTTTTCAATCTGCATTCATTAGCTTCAAATAGGAAGAGAAGCTGAAAGTAACTCTCAGCTCATCTCCATGGAAATTGAATATATAATTTCCTCCCTCAGATGTGGACGCGCTGACTTTGGTGCAGGGAGCGAATACACTTAAAGCCTTCTATGTGTGTAAATGCAGGATGTACACATTCTCCTTCCGTTGGTCTTTGATGAATTTGATGATAATGAGGGTAGTAATGATGATAATGACATTAATCGCATGCAATGTAACAACACGGTAATTATGCTATTTACATGTTTAACTATGACCTCAAAAGAATGTGCTTGGTAGTAGTTTGGTTCAATATGATGACGAGATGTCCAAATGAGTCCATCTAGGCTTTATAGACCCTTTTAGGGCCGATGTCACAATGACATCAGTTAACTGGAGGCAAAACACAACTTGCCACCACAGGGCTGTAGGCTACATAGTAGACCTAAAATGTCGTCTTGTTGTGTTATTGGGTGCCAGGATAGAAGGAGTCATGGCTCAAAACTTAAATTTTATCGCATACCAGCTGTTACTGCCCGTCAACAAAAATGAAGACAACTATGGAGAAATGCTTTGAGACGAAAAGACTGGACGGAGGCGACGGAGCTCGCATGTGCAGCGCACACTTCATATCAGGTTAGGGAAAAGTATTTTCTGTTGTAGGGATGAATAACGTTATGTTTATTAAGGATTAAAATGTCCACCTAATCAAAAATTGGGGAGGTATTAAGAGGAATATTGGATTTCTCCATAATGCTACCTTTTTAGCGCATTAGCTAACGTTAGCTTCAATAGCAAAACAAACAGGAGGAAACTGTTCAAGTGTTGTCCTCCTTTGTAAGGTTGGCATAGGAATAAACCAGAAAGCCGGCCATCCCACCTTCAGCCTGTCAAATCATCCATCCACTGAGTGAGAGCATACAGGTTGGCCAGTCTGGTCCTGTTGGTCAGTGTTTACTTATTCAAGTTACACTCGCGGTCCCAGAGAATAAGTGACCTGACATGGTGCGCTCCTAAATTCAGTCTGACGCCCTACACTAAAATAAAAGCACTGTCTGTGGAAGACATGGAGACTATGTTTCTATATGAATTAACAAACTCTTAATCACAAATTCATTCCACTTGGTGCTCTGCTGCTCCGTCTCACCAGACAGAGTGCTGAGAGTGTACTCAGTCATTGCAACAGTGCGTTGCTCTGGATCACCAAGCAGTACATTCTGACAGTGCTCAGATTTTACTAACAGTCCAGTTTGTGCCAGAGTGTGCTGCAGCACTTGGAATGAGTATTTCCAAAAGCACCACTCGCATCATCTTCCTCCATTATCTAAAACAAGCCAACAGAAATTGCTAGCCAGCGCTAAATATTGTCTGTGGAGGAAAGTCTTGCCTCCAGCTAAGCCTCGTCCACCAAAAAACATCATACTTTTTACTAACAGTAAAAGGGTCTGTTCACAACAAGACAAATCCTTCCCACAAGAGCAGTCATCACACAAAATTTGACCATTCATGCGAACAAGGTAATGTTTTTTTCAAAATGTCTATGAGCACAACAGATTGTTTATAAGCCAGAAGACCATTTAAAGTAGATTGCTCTGTGATCCAGCCAAGGGCACTAACTTTTTTTTTACTATCAGCTTGACCTGTTGTATTCCCTCTTGACCTATCAGTAAATAAAGCTTAAGCCAGTTGTTTGCTATGAAAACGGCTGTTTGTCTAGTTTGTATTTGCAGCCATCTTACTCTACAACACTAACAATTGTACAGACTCACTTGCTAACATTAGCTTGCCACCCGAGTAAGGCAGTGGAGGCACCACAGGCGAGTAGAGCAAGGGCAAGTGTACAACCATTGACAAGGGCTTTCAGGATCTCATGATAAAGCTGGAGCCATGATATAAAATTACAAGTCACACCACTTTCTTAAAATGCATAGTGCCACTGTACAACAAAATACGTAGAAACACTAGCCACACATACTTATGACACAGTCACAGCTCACTGTATTTCATACTCATGGGAGGTTGACAATAATGTACGGTGTACTAAGGTACTGAGAGGAAGCCACACAGCTGTCCATTTTGCAGAAAGCATCAGCAACACACTGGATGAATTTAACATCTCTCATGAAGTGGTTGTAGTTATATTGAGTTAATGATATATTTGGTAATGTTAAGTTATTGAACCCTTGTCAACATTTACTTTTATTTATTTCCATGATAAAAGTGACAGCCTTAAGACACCCTTATTAAACAAACACAAATAGTTAAAAAAAAAAAGATGTTACTAA